CTCATAGGCGCGGCCGGCTCGCGCGCACTAGTAGCAGCTGCCGCCGCGGCGGCGCCCGGCCTAGTCGGAGCAGTCGAGCTCCTGCGACGCACAACGCACACAGGGGGCCGAGCGGGCGGCGCCGGCCTGCCAGCGCTTATACTATAGGAGGTTAGCGGACAACGTCTGTTACGCTTGCCTAACTGCGGACTTACGGGGTGGCGGAGACGGAGGCGGGGCCGAGGGCCGGGCGTCACGGGTGGCGGCGGGGACGGCGTCGTTACCCTAAGGGCGACGAGAGCGAATAGCGCAGCAGAGGCGGCGGCGGCGGCGGTGGGAGCGGTGGCAGCGGCGCGGGCAGGAGCGGCGGCAGCGGCGGAGTCGTCGTCGGCCGCGGCTAGCACGGCGTCGACGAACGACTCCGCACGCTCCGAGAAGGAGGAGGTAGGAAAGGGAGAGGCGGATATGTCTATCGCGGAAGTCAGCACGACGGAATGCGGCCTCCCGCTCTATGAGGCGCGGAACTTACTAGTTAGAGTTGTTGTTGTTATTGGGGCTGTTGTTGCTGCTGCCGCTGCTACTGCGAGCATACGTTAATAGAGCGGCCCGCATAGCTAGGAACGGACCAACGCCCCGGGTAGAGCGGAACTTACCTGTTGATGCTGCTGCTGCGGTTGAAGAAGGGAGAGAAGGAAGGGAAGGGGGAAGGGGGGGATGCCGCCTTATATACCCCTTAGTGGAGGATGCTGCCTGAGGCAGAGGGGACGGGCAACCTGAGGCTCACGTAGGTCCGGACCAGCCGCCGGCCACCTAGGGGCGCACACAATAGGTTACGCCCCTATTTAAACGGCCAGCCGGCCGACGAGTGTGGAGCCGGGTCCCGGCTGCCCGGGCTAACGGGCGCGGGGACAATAGGGCTAGTGGGGCCGGCCCTATTAACGGGAAAGGGCAGGGAAGAGCCCGCGGCACGGGCCCAATTATGCGGGAGCCGTTAATAGGGCAGCACTGCGCCGCGCTCGAGGGAGGGCATTGTGTAAGAGTCTTTGACTATTGTGGGTGATGGGCTTGGGCCGCGGCCTAAGCCGTGTAGTCACGTGCGGAGGGCCGGATCCCGTAAGTATGGGGGCGGGCCAGCCGCGCATAGAAGAGCTCTGCATAGCTTATTAACATCATCCTACGGACGGCACCTACGCACACGCCTCTACCTACTCCGTGACACTTATCCTTCGAACCTAACCGGGAAGGCGTCGTATCGTGCCTTTATCTAGAAGTATGTTATATAATCTAGGTAGACGTATAATATTTATAAAATATACTTATAGTGCTTATAAGTAAGTAGTGTTTATAGATCGTCTCTAAATTCTCCTTATAGTTACTATTCTCGTTATAGAGCTATAAAGGTATCGACTACGGCGATAGCTATAACGTAGTCTCCTCCGCGTAGTGCCGGTTAATATCGAATTAATATAGCTTATTAGTTTTCCGTGAGAATTTAAGGTATTTATTAGGTTCTAATTTTAAGCATTTCTTTAAATTCTTCGAAGTATAGAGCGTGTTCTCTAATCGTAGCATTTTCCCTTAGTAGCGAGGGTAGTAGTACGAGTTCGTTCTCGTCTTCCGTTTCTCTAGGTATTTCTTATTCTTTAGAGCTTATATCGTCGATACTTCGTTATTCTTCCTCGGGTTATTGTCCGAGTTTCGTAAGTATAAGGGCTGCGTCTATATCTTCTTTATTATATTGTTTATAGACTGCCCGTCGTTATTATCGACTTTTATTTCGTATATCTTCCTAGAATCGTTTGCCGTTCTTCCTAATCTAGTCTTAAGAGACTCCTTTAGGATAGGGGTATTCCGGTTCTGCGAATTTAACTTATTTCTATATTTTAGGATCCCTTCGTTATATCATTGCAAGGGTCTTCTTTAGTAACTTTAAGAACTATCCGGTACCGTTCTTATCGCTTAAGTATACCGTATATTCGTCGTTGTAGTATATAGTCTAACTAAGGAGTTTATGCTTTAGTTCCTATCTATTAGTAGCGTTTAGGTGTTTCTTACCTTCTAGGGCTAGTGCTTAGTAGGTTTTCTTTTCCTTACGAGGTTGTCTATATTCTTTAGAGTAATATCTAAGTTTCCCGTAGTTAAAATACTTTCCTTTGCTTTTCTATATTATATCTAGATCTATCCTACCTAGGTTAGTTATATAAGCGTAGGCAATAGGAGTTTCGCGCTTCTTTTTATAGTTAGCGCGTCGGTTAAAGTTATTCCTATAGGAAGGGTTCTAGTTTCCTCTTCCTTGCTTCTTTTCTTAGCGTTGCGCGTACTATCTATCGTCGATTTATACTACTATAGCAATATAGTCCGAGAGGTTATTAGGTCGATTTTCCTTATAGAGCTCGTCCTTAACTTCTTCTTTAAGCCCGTCGTAGAATCGTAATATAAGAGGTTCGTCGTCCTAATTAAGCTTTAAGGTAACTTATCGGAACTTCGTAGTATAATCCGATACTAAGATCCTTTATTAGAGTTCTCGAAGTTTTTATTCGGCTTCTCGTTCCTCGTCGGTTATTCCGAATACCTTCGTAATAGCTTCTTCGAATCCTTAGAAACTAGCAAAGACTTCGTCTATCTCGTTGTCTCGTCGCGCTAGTTAGTTGTCGAGAAAGTCCCTTATAATAGGTCTAAACTAGGCGAGTGCCGTTCTAGATAAACAATTTCCTACGTAGAGTACCTTTTCGACTAGGTCCGAGAGTTTTATAGGGTAAAACTAGTAGTAGGCCTTAAGTTAGGTAAGAAAGTCTCGAAGCGTGCTATAAGTACCGTCGAATAGTCCTAGCTATTTTAGTTTAACTGCTTCTCTAAGGTCCCTAACTTATCCGTTGCCTCCTCTATTCCTAAGTAACTATACCTTATATCGAAGGGTAATAATCTCGCGCATTATATCCTAAGGCGATATAGTAGCTCTAGAGTTAGTTAATCTAGCTTACTATATAGGTATATTAATAGTTGCGATATTGCTTAGAGTAACGCGGTATTATACTAAATAAGAGCTTTTAACGTATAACGACCGGTATTATTCCTAAGGGATAAACCTATCGAGGGGTTTATATTAGTAGATATAACAGGGCGTGGTCTAAGCAATAATATATATATTACGTTAGTAATAAGTCGGAGGTCGTAGACCGTAGACTATAACCAGGTAATTAAGTGATCGGAATTAGAGATAAGATCGTAATAGAGATCGTAATAATTATAATATTAAAAGCTAGAGAGCTATCTATCTAAAGGAGTGAAAGTAGGTGGCTATATATACCCGTAGAGACTGTCCTTAGATCACGGTTCTGGCCGTGATCCCCTTCGTGGCTTACTATAGCTCACTCGTGAGCTATGCTCCTAAGTAGTGATCTATCTATATAAGGCTTACTTAGCTCACGTACGCTCTAGGTAAGCTAAGCCTAAGTGACTTCTCGTCCCGACCATTGTTCCGAGCCGCCTTGTCACGTGAACGTGGCCGGCTCTCCTACGGCCCGCTAACCGTGGTCGTAATAAGTAGTTAAGAGGATATTAATAGCTTCTTTAAGTAGGATCTTCTTTATTAATTAAGATACTAGATAGGTATAAAGAAGAGCGTTAAATAAAGGAAAGAAGAATAATTAAGGCAATATAATAATTACTCCTTTATTATAATAGCTGCCCCTATAAGAATTAAATATCTTTACCCTACCTATCTAACCCCTTACTTTTAATTTTACCTTTATATACTTTATATATACTTCTTATATCTATCTTAGCGAGATATTTAATACTAAGGGTCTCTAAGATCGCTAATTATATAAATTTCTACTTAAATTCGCGTTCTACCTATATAGCGAGATTAGGATACTACTATACTATATCTTTATATACTATTTAATAAATATACTTCTACTAAACTTAAGAAATAGCTTAATAATAAGTATTTAATATATTAACTATATTAAGTTATATTTTACTATATATCTAACGCTTTTAGCGGTATATTATAACGATAATATAATAGTAGAGTTTATAGATTATACCTTTAAGGTAGTAGTATAATTCTTTACTAGGTATATACCTATAGTAGTACTTTAATATAATAAGTAGCTTTATTAGCTAGATTTAAGATAATATTATTATTATTAAGAGATAAGCCCTCTACTAGCTAATTATATATATTTATTACCCATCTTATTATTATAGCCCTATAAATATAATATACCTTATTTATTATAGCCTAGGCTTACTATAGTTATATATAAAGAACCCTACTTAATTAATATAACTCCCTTAGCCTAAGAATAATATATAGGCCTAACTTAAGTATAGGAATATCTTAATACTTACTTTTAGTTAGCTATTTATAGTTACTATATTATATATATAAGTACCCCCTTTATATTCTTATAGTAGAAAAGAATCTTTTAAATCCTCTAGCCTAAGTTTAATAAAGTTAAGTTTATATAAATTCGCGTTATTATAGACTTTTTATTCTTCGTCTTAGCTATAAGCTCTCTATAGTTAAAGTTCGAAATATAAAGGGAACTATCCTATAAATTCCTAGTCTATAATTCTAACGATCTAAAAAGTATAACCGTCTAGGGTAAATAAAGATATTTTAGGGTCTAAGATGATTTTAGTAAAGTATAGAATATTTAGTTTCTAACTTTATTCGCTCCTAAGACCGTCTTTACTTATATAAGCCCCTTCTTATCTTAATAGATAAACTAAGATATATATTATTAAATTTACCTTTCTATACCCCTATTTCCTTTACTATACTCTTAGGCTACTACTTTTTTTTATATTATTACTCGTATATAGCCTCTAGGGCTATAGCGAGGCTAATAAGGGCCTAGGCCCCTATTAGTAGTCCTAGCTAGCTATAGAGCCCGGGGGCTTATAACTAATTAAGGAAAGGGTAGCTATAAAGGCAAGGATAAAGGAAAGGTTAGTCTAGTTCCTCCCGTGCGGTGATTTTCCCTCCTAAGGGCCCTAGGGCCCCTAGGTTACTCCTTTTCGAGCCACTTAGCCGTTCCTATCTCTGTTTTAGCTAAGAAGGTTAGAAGGGCTTCCCTTCCTTCCTTAAAGCTATAGAGAAAAGGTAGGCTAAAGCTACTACTTAAGAGTAAGGCAAGGAGTCCTTTCGTTCCTTAAGGCATTCTTCTTACTAGTATGGTAATTGCTATTATCTAGGACTTTCGATACCGTTACTTAATTGCGAAGCATGGCTCCGCTATCCCGTTGACCTTCGAAATTACATGACTTTCTTCCACTTCCATAGAGACCTTGAATTGCAATACGACTTTAAGCCCGTCATACCGCACTCACTGCCGATACCGCTCCACTTATGTCCCCCAAATGGAACATTAGCAGCTAAATCAAAATGTGAGTTTATCCAAACACTACCAGCTGAAAGGCGCCGAGCAATTCTTTCTCCCCGGTCAAGATTCTTGCTCCAGACAGAGGCGCCCAGTCCAGTCTTAGTATTATTAGCACGTTCTATGACGTCATCCTCATTCGACCACTTCAGAATCGGCACAACAGGCCCAAAAGGCTCCTCAACGACGATTCGAGAGTCTTCAGGAGGATTGTCGATGATTGCTGGACTTATAAAATAACCCTTGGTGTCCTTTAAAACCTCACCTTCCAGAGCTACTCCCCATTTGCGTTTTCCGACTTCAGAATACATGTCCTTGACACTTTCGTATCTGAAATCCTGATTAATATTACTCGGCAACCTGCAACATACGCGGTTTGATGCGAAGTACTCACTGCATGGCGTTCTGGATTGGCCCCACCAAGACATCCGGCTCAAACCCATCCCCGACTTTGATGGTTTTCGCAAACGCGACCATAGCCTCGCGAAACTTGTCATAAATCTTTTCGTGGACGTATACCCGCTTTATCACCATGCAAATCTGACCGGAGTTCAGGAATGCAATGGTGGTGATCTTTGGGACAACAACGTCAATATCGACGTCGTCGCAGACTATTGCCGGGTCATTGCCGCCAAGTTCCAACGTAAAGCGCTTCAGTGTCTTGGAGCAGCTCTGCATTACGAGTTTCCCGGTGGCAATTGAACCGGTGAAGCTGACCTTATCGATGTCCGTGTGCTCGGTAAGCATTGGGCCTAGGTCGTCTCCTCCGCTGAGAACTTGAAGGACACCCGGCGGAAAAATTCGCATGCCAATCTCCCCGAGCTTTAGATCGCAGTACGGCGTAAAAGGCGACGGTTTAATGATGATCGTGTTGCCGGTTATAAGTGCCGGGCCTAGTTTGCTGATTCCCGTCAGAACAGGCCAGTTCCACGGGACAATGCCGCAACAGACTCCTAGTGGAGGGAAAGTCTGGATCACTTTTCGTTCATCGTTGTCATCAATGATCTCGTCCTTAACTTCCATGTTGGCAAAGGTCGATAACCAATCGAGCGCCATATCAAACTCCATTTTTGCAAGTGCAAGAGGTTTTCCTTGTTCCATAACAAGTAGTTTCTCCAGCGACTCCCGATGAGCTGAAACTGCATCGGCGTAGGCGAGGAGAAGTCGTGCTCGCTCCTTAAATGGGACTTCAGACCATGTTTTGAAGGCCTTGCGAGCGTGTGAGACGGCCATGTCCACATCCTTTCTCGTGGCGCAAGGGACCTCATATAATGCCTCTCCTGTGGAGGGGTTGGTGGTGTGTCGAGTACTGGCGGTAGGAACAAATTCGTTATTTATGATGTTCCCCGGGAATACCTTCTGTCTCTTAGTTTCACATGCTGCTTTTAGGTGATTTCAAAACCCTTTACTTACGGTAGTTTTGAACGGGGAAGCCATTACGCTTGAATATTTTCTGAGTTAATTCGAGTGGACAATGTTTCATAGGCGTAGCAGGCGAAAGACAATATCTCTCGCAGGGACACAGAAAAGACGATAACACATTAGGTAGTCTAATGTGATAATGCGATGGGTGCGTAGTCTAGTGAGAAGGGATCCCGTTATATATCTTGATCGATGCACTTAATCAGCCGTGAGGTTCAACCCTCTACGCAAAAAGAGAAAAATGCATCGGCCATGAGACCTAGACCGATAGACCATCGGACCGAAAATGCCGGTCTAGAACTGCCGGTTTATTAGCCACACTAGTACTATCAACAATATCACCGCAACTGTTCTCAGGTGTACCTACCGTGCTGAATACCAAAAGTCATTCGTTGCCGAATCCTCCGGGGATCTTCTGCCCGGTCATTGCCAGCTATCCAATCAATTGTGCCGTGGACAGGTCGAAGAGGAGCCAAAGTAAAGTTGTGACACAACCAAGATTATTTTACTATGTTGGCTGATATTCTTACGAAGTTATGATTTGATGCATTCGTCTACACAACCTCCATCGTCTCCTCTCCCTAACACCAATGCGGCAGTTAGTTTGAAGACAAAATTGGTGAACGGGGCGCTCTCGAAGACCACTCAACCGCCATTGGGACAAATCGGATCCGCATCCGGCCATAAATTGAAGCACGACGAAGGTCATATATACAGGGCTGAACGGTTACAGCTAACTGAATGCATCAATGAAAATCCATACTGAGGGGTCTCAAAGTCGACTATTTTTCCCGTCACAAGGTATATATCAGACTTTAACATCTACCTGGTTCCTGTGACAGTAGCTCCAGCCTAAGAAAGCGGCCTAATCGTCCGATATAAGGCCCACGGTCCAAGGCTACCTATTTATCGTGAGGCTTTCTACCTGGTTTGGTAAGTCCGGTTTAAAAACTTATATGAGATATCTGGCTCCGGCCCAGAAGTTTAATAAGAGACATCTGGATGTAATGGTAAACGGGCTGGGCCCGCGTGGAATCTCGGCTTCCGCTCTTCATCCCTTTAAGTGCCGAGGGACCGCACCCATGTCACGAGCAGGGATACCAGCTAATAGAGGCGCCGGGCCCTTAGAGGTACTTTAATTTACTAGCAAATTAGGCTATAATAGAAGTCTTAGCAATCCGGCCGGGTATAAAAAGCTACATTGCACTAGTCGCATCCCTTACGAGTCTTCACAGCCGGCTTCTTATTGCCGCTGGCCGCGCCTAACGGCTTGCATTGACTCCGTGATCTTACCTGCCTAGCTTTAAAGCCCTGGTAGGCAACGCAAGGCGACCCTTTTAAACGAGAGATATAATTGTATTGCGATATAGGCGTAAAGGCGTCGATAGCCCGAAAGAGCTATCTTAAGCCGTCTTTTCCGTAAGCCTTGCTAAGATCCTATTTTAGTAGCTGTTTAACTAGGGCAATAACGACGCTCTATATCGGGTTAAGAGAAATGCCGCCCTCTGCTATGCCTCTTGCCCTCTTCCTTTTTATTATAGTAGCCGGGCTAGCAGCCGGGCTAAGGACTCTAGAAGGTTAGTGCTAAAGCTACCTAAGAAAATAGCCTGCTTAGGCTATAACCTATACTTTAAAGCCTATAGGCGTAGACTTAGTCTTAATAGTAACTATCTACTTCGACCTACTTATATAGCGGACTATATACTTATCTATAGCTAAATAAGTGCCTAGCTAATAAAGATTAAGAGATACCTACTATATATATTTAGCTTACTTATTAACCTACTTATAGGGTATAAGGAGCTTATAAGAGATACTACTTAAGTCTAGGTTACTAATTTAAATATACTATTAAAGAAGCTAATATCGGTTAAATAATATAAGTATTACTATTTATATAAAGATATATCGCTATTTATATAAAGGCCTTATTATTAAGATATATACTAGTACCAGCCCGCCCTACTTATTTATACTATACTTATATAATAAATAGTAGTACCTATATATATATACCATACCTATATATATATATATATATATATATATATATATATATATATATATATATATATATATATATATATATATATATATATAAGGGGTAATAAAGGCTAAATAATATATACCTTTTAATTTACTTAAATAATATATTTCTAGGCCTTAAGCTTAAAGTTATAATAATTAGCCTATTAATTAATCTAGCTCCTCTTTAGCCCTTATAGCTATATAAGCGGCAGCGGTAGCGCTTACTTAACGATCCCTTTAATACTTAATATAGCTAGCTACTTTAATAAAGCTAGCTACCTTAATAAAGCTAGCGGCGCGCCCCTTTTACTATATCTTTCTCTTAATCCCCTTCCCTTTATATTTCCTTAAGTAATCGATCTTTATTATAACGCTATAAGAGATCGCGGACTATAGCTAAGTTTATTAATTTTATTATACCCTTAGCGCCTTTAAATACTTAAGTTAAGCTACTTTAAGCTAGCTTAATATTATAGGGTAGGTAAAGGGTTATACTATAAGTGCCTTTTATTATATTATAATAATAAGCTATATAGGATCTAACTATATACTATGCTTACTACTACTAAATATATATTTATATATATAGCCTACCTTACCTTATAACGCTATTAGCTAAGGTCTAAGCTAATACCTAGACCTATACTAAGGGTAAATACCCTTATATAAAGTCTTTACCTTTCTCTTTATAAGCGGTCCCTTATAACGTTAATCTTATACTTTAGCGCGCGGCTAAGAGGTAAATAACTTACTAGCGCGCCCTTATTACTCTTTCCTCTTAACTATACTATTATTATTAATATTAGTAATAATAGCTATAACTATAACTATAAGTCTCTTAGCGCCTAGCTATACGCTACCGTCTATATATAAGCTAACTTATACCCTAATTAGTTATTTAAATAATTTAATATATTTTCTTTTACCTTATCTTACTTTTCCGCTAAGATTAATAGCTTTATTAACCGCGCCCTTACCTTACCTACTACCCTACCTACTACTCCCGCCGCCTTAGTCGCGCCCGCTACTACTCTACGCTACTCGCTACCTAGCTTCTTAGCTATTAACTTTACTACCTACGCCGCCGCCGCCCTTACTATACTCTCTACTACTAGCCGCCGCGATAATAACGACGATAATAATAATAATAATAAGTATAGGTCCTTACTACCCTCCTTTATAAGCCCCTCTACCTTTATTCTTATAAGTATTACTAACTCCCTATATTAATATAAGCGCGCTATAGCCTAAGGCGCTACCCGCGATTCCTTTTATATATTATATACCTTATAGTCCTTCCCTTACGCTAACTAAGCCGGCCGCCCTTAAAGTAGCTACTTTTTTATACTTAGGCTAGCCGCGCTTATAAGGTTATACTATTTATCCTTACTTATACTATCGCGGCTTAGAGCGCTATAGAGCTAGGTAAGGACTAGAATAAGGCTAAGCGCGCTTTAACCGCTACCGCCGCTATCTATTATAACTTATAGTTCCTTAAGCGCGGTACCTTTATACCTAAGTATATAAGCTCCCTTTCCTATACTTTTTATAGCGCTAACTCTCTCTCTCTTATAGGCACCGTCGCTGCTGCCTTAGCCGCCCCCGCTACCTTTACCGCCGCCGCTTTTACTACTACTAGCACCGCCGCCGCTACCGCCGCTATCCTTAACGCCGCCGTTATCGCCGCTTAGCTAGGTAGCTTAGAGGGCTAGATCCGCGCCCTTAAGGCTAAGGCCGCGCCTTATACTAAGGAGGAGAATAAGAAAGAAGATAAGGAAAAGGATACGGATAACTATTTAATAGTTAAGACCCTACTAAAGAAGAAGGCCTACTAAGCTTAGTTTATATACTTTTAAGCGCGCTTATAAGGGCTAATATAATTTATTTATACTACCGCCGACCTAAGTATACCTTACTTATTATCTATAGTCGTAGTATTTATAATATATACTTATAGCTTATATTAATATAGTAACCGCTATAAGCTTAGTACCCCGCCGCTTTCTTAGGGGTAGAGTATAGTCTCCCTTATACCTTAAGGTGCTAGCTACTTTATAACTAAGGGGGGTAGCTTCTTTCGCTAGGCTATTATTTTTTTCTACTAGCTTATAAAGGGCTTTAAATATATCTAAAGCTACCGCGCCTTTAAACTTAGAAGCTAGCTCCTACGTTAGGTCTTAATAGCCGCGCTATTTAATAAGGACTTTATACTTTTTACTACGGCTTATATTCTTTTAATAAGCTACTTATAACTCCTTTACTAAGAACTCCTCCTCCCTCTTAATAAGGATAGTAGCTAGTTAAGGATCTACTATTTCTTAGCTTAGTAAGGGGTCTATAATAGCGCAATAAAAAAGGTCGATATTAATTATACTATAGATATTAAAGGGTAGCCCCTTTAGCTCTATAGTCTATAAACTTAATACTCTCTTTACTATATACTTAGCGTATAGCTAGTTAAGCTTTTTCTTTAGCTTTATTAACCTATAGTTATAGGGGTCTAGCTAGACCTTATCCCTTACCGCGAACCTATTTATAGGATCCCGCGACTTTTTAGCTTACTACTCTTAGTCTTAGGTAGTAAACGCTATTAAGGATTAATAGAACTCTATAATTTA